TTTCTATACGGTGCCCTTGTGTTTTTATGGTTTCTACATGGTGCCCTTGTTTATTTAATTTTCTCAATGGTGTCCTTGTGTTTTTATGGTTTCTACATGGTGCCCTTGTATATTTAATTTTCTCAATGGTGCCCTTGTATATTGGGTTATTCCTTGGCTAAAAGTTAATTAACTTACACTTGACCGTGGTTAGTAAAAGAAAAGAAACCAAAAAAATAAAATTTCTCAATTCTAATCAAACCACTCACCTTTCCCTTCACTCACCCCTGTTCTATTCACAATTCACAAACTTTGCAACTTAAATATCTCAATTCAATGAAACTGGAAGTCTTTGCTCATATTATTCTAAAAGCTACGATTACTTGATTAATTACTTACTTGTTCTATCTAAAAAGAAAAGGCTTTATTGTTGAAATCGGTTGGCCTGGTTAGATTCATGGTAGGAGCAATTTGCTACAAGTCAGCCTTTTATGGCTTGCTTGGTGATAAAATTACCAGTTTGGGCAATTTCAGCTCAAGCAAACACCTTCTGGCTTCTGGTGATACGATTAACAATTAGCAAACTCTCTGAGTACAATGGTTTGTTATACTGCGTTAGTTGTTGATTTTATATTGTGATTATCATTGCATACTGACTTTTAAGGCATTTTCTAATGTAATCTCTCCTTTAAATTACTCACCATTATTAATCAATAAGCCCAAGAAAAAAAAAATTAAATATAAACAGTAAAACCAGAAAGAATTGCAAATAAAGTAATACCAAAATAGGCGTGGCTGTTCAGTGGAAAGAAGGTAAGATAGGAAAATTGAAATCAGGTTTAATGGAGTTGGGAGAAAAAAAAATTGTTAACCATAGTTAAATGTAAATTAAAATTTAATTAAGGAATGGGTATAGGTAATAACCTTAATAAAACTCATGGGCACCATAGAGAGAGTTAAATTTACAAGGGTACCATGTAGAAACCCAAAAAACACAAGGGCACCATGTAGAATAACTTTAAATTTTATTATTTCAATTTTAAAATGAGTAGTTTTTTTATTTATTGTGTGACATCGGCAATGCTTATGTAATTTTTCATTCCATTTCATCAACCTCCCTTTCTCCTAGAACAGAATCAAGTATCAAGTTGATGGTCCTTGAATAAATGAATTCCAACTCCAATTTCTTCATTTCAGGTTTGGGGAGAGAAAGAGAAAGGAGAGCGAGAGTGAGTAACTGTGCTAATTGTGGTTGTGGTGGGGTACAGAAGGTCAGATGAAGGATTAGCTGTCCTGACTCCTGAGATAGTGTACTTCTGTGAGTTGTATTTTAAGTGGAGTTAATCCATTCTCTAAAGAACAAGGCACGAGGCGGTTAGAGAGGAATGTAACTGTTTAGATGGAATGTTCTGTTTTGTTTTTTTTTTTTTATTCTTAGCAACTTATAAAGTTGAGCAACAATTATGAGTTTACAACCAATTTGATTTATAAGTTTTTGGTAAATAATTTTGTTAATGAGGCAGCTAATCCTCACTTTAGGCTCTGCTTGATTTCTATGTCAGGGCTGGGAAAATAAAGCCTCAACATATCATCATATTTAGCCTCAGCTACCTCTTTCTTTCAATGTGAACAATTTAGCCAGTGAGTTCTAATTTCTTAATTTGTTGTTAAATGCTTTTTAAATACTTCTATATTATTATAGAAAACAATAAAATAAAAGCTCAAACTTTTGTATGTGATGGCACACCGTGCGGCTAATCACCATAGGGTTACTCTATTAGGATTATAGGGGATTACTTAATCAATAATATTGGAGTCACTCAGTCCGTAGAGTAGGATTTACTCTGTTAGCTCTACTTTTTGTTTTTTTTTTTCGGAGGTAACACTACATTATCAACCACACAGGAAACACATTGAAATAAAAAGATAGATAGAGACCTAGAGTTAAAGGGGGCAGAATACCATATACAAAAAAAAATGAAGCATAATAAATCCGAGTTGTTTTGTCGTCTTGCTTTTTTAAAGTTTTCCCTAAGCTTTTTCACTACTTGCACAGTTGCACCCACCCTAATGGCCTAATGAAATTGAGACCAAGAGAATTTTTCACCTTTGGTCAATTTGAGATACTATTATCAGAATAAGTTATTATACATCAATGAATGATAGAAAGATGTGAATTGCGTAAAAGGCCTGAAGACAAGAAAGCTGTTGCACAAAATGCTACTTCAATTTTTCAAATTACTATTATTGGGAAATTTTAATGCTTGAAAAATTCTATTGGAATGAATGAGTATGCATGACAGCATCACCCAACCAAGATTAGTTTAATATTAAGGAGCCTGCGTGACTTTCTTTTGTTCGGAAATTTATTGATCATTAAGCTGTGAAGCTGTCCCATTGTTTGATAAAAGTTCTGCATTTCGACAATATACAATTATTATCTTAGTAAACAACTTAACCATCATCTTTTGTCATGCAATAGGCAATAAAGATATAAAAACAAGTAAATAAAGCTAGCTTCTTTGATAATCTTTGAAGGAAGGATATGGCATGATTGTACATTTCTTGAGTTTTGTAAGAATTTCCTTTGTACATCTTTATGCAAATCTTCTATGGCCAGCCTGGTGATTTGCTTTAGCTTAGAGGTTCTACGCTTTTAAATGTTGCTGTGTAGATTCATGTCTTTTCTGGTGGAGGTCATTTTTATGAGGTTTATGTAGCTATGTATCTTACATTGGAGGGGACTATATATTTGGAAAGACATGCAAAAATTTTTAGGTTGTGTTCATTTGAGCTTTGTTTCCTTTTTATAGTGGTGGGCTCTGAACAAGTGTGATTTGTTCTACTAAGAAAGTTAGATATAACATGAACAAGTAGGAATAGGCTTTCTCATAATTGTGGAAGCATAAAAAGATGAGTCTAGGGAGTGAGAGGAAGAAATCCGAGAAGGCTAGCTAATAAAAGGGTAAAAGTTGGAAGGAGGGAGATAGTGAAGATGAGGGAGCGATGTAGAAAGGGGTACAAAGTAATATTCTCATAAGAGTTGAGATTGAGCCTTTGAATTATTTTTTTCCTCAGTTCTTGATGGTGCAAGTGGGTTAGGAATTTAGGATGGTGATTATGAAAGTGGTGAGGATTTTTTTTCTTAGTCCTTGATGGTGCAGGTGGGTTAGGATGGTGATTATGGTAGTAATGAGGATTGGATCACGCCTTCATGACCTTGAGTGAGATGGTTGAGGATTTGGTAGAAATTTATAATCCTTGAGGAGAGAGATTGGGTATAAGGAATCCAGGAGTTTAGGGGTAACACAACCAAAAAAGAACAGTGGAAATTGAATGTTGATTGTACATTTCTTGAGTTTTGTAAGAATTTCCAAGGGTATTTTTGAACTGAATCATCTCTGTCTAGATCACTAAATTTGATTTTTATTTTATAAATAGTTTCTGTACATAAACTGAACAAATAGGTCATAATGAAAAAAAAATGACAAATAAAATATACAATAAGAGACTCAAGTCATAAAAATATATTCAATGTTGTTGAAGTTGGATTTAATGCGTGTTGGTTTTTTTTTTTTTTAGATTTTGGTTCTTAGTTGCATGATTTTGGTTCGAAATGGAGTGTCCAAGTGTTGTTGTATTTGTATTGGAGTGTTGAGTATTTGTTACGGGTACTTGAAGTGAAATGAAGAGTCGGGGTAGCATATATGGTCCCGGGTTTCTAGACACTACAATTAGTTAGTAGTTTTTGATGCTTGTTATTGATGCTAGAACTAGCTAGGTGTCTGCTATTGCTGTTATGGTTTCAAAATGAATGGGGGTTTTGGCAGAGTTAAGCTTTTTAAAAAATTTATAATCCTTGAGGAGAGAGATTGGGTATAAGGAATCCAGGAGTTTAGGGGTAGTGGTGTAGCTAGTCGTGCACGATAATTGAGCTTAATATGCTTAATTAGTAAAGTTTATTTATTCTCTTCGAATATAATTAGCTGTCACATAATCTGATAATTATATAAAGCAACACTCTGAAAAGATGTTCAACTTCTTATTGGGTGTTGAGTGTACGTGAATGACTTATTTATTTGATTTTTTTCACCTGCTTAAACTTGCCAATTGTGGCAAATTTCATGAATCGTCAGTAGTATAGATTTACAAGTACGTACTGTTATTTCAACGCTTGAGATTCTTCATATACATTCATACATTTATACATACGTAGGTTATTTCTAAATATAGCTACTCGTAGTTTCTAAATTTATAATTAAAAATGACATTTATTATTATGCATATGTACATTTAGAAATAACATTTTTTGCGATTACCCTTGTAATGATCATGGCTCAGTTGCTTCTAGCTAGCCATGATCATTCTCTTGTACAAGTAGCTAGGTGTATAGCAGAAAGAAATTGTTCTTCCTCATCTATTCTAATTGTTCTTAACGTGTTCTTAGGGAGTTCCGAATACATTACTTTAATTAATCATTTGATCTCGAAATTTTAGGGAAATTCTAAAAGCATATTAACCATTAACCCATAGCAATCATAGTGGGGGTTAAAATTGCTTATAAAAAACAGTGTAACAAGTCCCCAATTCTTAGTTCCCCATAATTATTTTCTAACATTATGGTCGTCTATCTTTTCCTACCTTAACACTTCACACGCAAACTGATTTGGTATTGCACGTTAACCATATATATACTCTCCAATATCATATTTTGTCATTACATTTCTACTATATGTCTACATAATAATTTAAATTGGCATCAATGCACATCCAATATCTAAACTAATATCATATACATATACATATAGTACTTTACTATTTAAAATAAAACTTTTAAACATTACAAAATTAAAGGAAGACAACATCAAATATATGGAGAATAATATCTCTTGATATAATTTCTTGATATCACTAAATTATCTATTCAAATTACGTGTTTGATGACGTGGTTAATATTTAGGTGTATGTAATCCTGTTGACGACTATGTAAATAATGTCTCTGTAGAGCCGGGTATTTTTACATTATTTTCATTGATTATCGTTGTAATACTACCTCTTGTTTCTTATTAATTGCAACTTTAAAGGATTAAATGAAGTTTTAGGCAAAATTTATATGAGTGTTAAATGAAGAGAGAGATAAATTAAGACCCTGTCCACTTCAACTTATTTTTACAGAACAGAAATTATTTTACATAATTGATTTTTTTTTTTTTGAAGTCTAATTGAAATTATTGTACTGATTCTTAATACTTCTTCTTTAGAGTTACTGATTATTACAGAATTGAAATTATTTTTACTGAATATATTTTTACTAAATTGGAATTGTCTTTAAGGAATCAAATTTATTTTTACCAAACTTTTTTTTTTTTGAACAGGGTCTAAGATAAAGATGCATGTTACGATCATTGAGCAGTGAATGTTACGGCTAGCCTTTCCTATAAATAGCAACGGGAACTTAAGTTTACTAGCAACAAGAGCTTAATTTAAGTTAACAACACGAAAGAAGAGTCTAGAAATAGAGAACGATGTCGAGTTCGCCTCAATTTGTGGCTCTAAGAACAGATTTTAACAAGAGGTATGTGGCTGTTGTAACGGATGGTAGCCAAAAAAATGGACTGGAGATGTCTTCAGAAGCTGAAATAGTGGTCAACCTTAAAGCCAAGTTCACCGTCGAGCCTTCCACCACTGCAGGTCTCGTGCACATACGAAGCAATTACAATAACAAATATTGGTGCAGGTGCTAATTTCTCTCTCTCTCTCTTTTTTTTTTCCTTCTATATCTCAAATAATTGGCTACAGTACTAATTCATCATTACATTTTAGTTACAATTATGATTTCATATAGTATCAAAAGTTGTCTTTAAAAAATAAGAAAACTTTACCAAGTTAACATACTCAATTGTTACTTATATGAATTTACAAATTCTTAAATGGATCTGGTTCACACTAATTTATTGTGAACCACTAATATTAGAGAAAATATGGTTGTTTTATTAATTAAAAAAAGGATCACTATAATTAAAAAAAAAAAAGTCACTATGTTGAAATAAAAATCATTTTGATAATATATAGGTCTGGTTAATTTTGTAATGAAATACTTTATATACTGATCAATATGAATAATAAAGGCCACTATGTTAAAATTAGGGGTACATAGAGGTACAACTGTGCCCCATAAAAAAAAAAAAAAAAAAAAAAAAAAGAGTAGCAAATAAAAAAACGGATATAAAAGAGATCCCCTGTAGAATATAACAAATCTCTTAGCGTCTGTAAACCAACCAAACAAATCAGTGCGCATTATTTTTGTTAAAATCATAGAGACCACTTATACAAAGGCCTGGTCTCTTAGACACTTTAACTATTGGTGTCAAAATCAAAGACACCACTTATTCAAAGGTCTGGTCTCTTAGATTTTATGAATTAAAGGTCTATTTTAGTTACCATCTTAGCCTTTTCCGACTAAAGAGATCTGTTTTCACAAATAACAAGCTCTTAGAATAATTTTTTTTTTAATGACTGTAGCTTAGCAGCGCCTTTTACTGAGCGTAACATGATTGATCTTATGTATGCAGTGAATCCCCAAGTAGTGGTTTAATTGCAGCAAAAGGCGTTGAACAAGTGGAAGATAAGTCATCATGGAATTGTACATTGTTTAGAGTCCAATTTTATGGTCAAAATGTATCGTTTTACCATGTTGGATCAAACAGCGATGTACAAGTAAGTACTGTCAATAACCAATTGTTGTTGGATGTTAACAAAACTAGTACTGGAAACAAAGAAATTTTTACGCCAGTTGATTTAGCATCAATAGTGATACTGCCTAAACGCGTTACGTTCAAAAGCTTCGTCAATGAGGGTTACTTGCTCGGTAGAATGGTTGAGGGTTACCCTTACAACGAGTTTTCAGGTGACGATGATATGGAGAAAGCAACCAACTATGAGATCTTCGTCACTGAGACTGGAGATATTCGCGTAAAGTCACTGTTATTTGGAAAGTATTGGAGAAGTACTCCTTGGATTTGGTCTGACTCTGATGATACTAGTGCCGATAATCCTGACACCTTATTTGAGGTATTTAAAGTTGATGACAATGTCATTGCTCTTCGTAACAAAGGCAACAAAAAGTTCTGCAAAAGGTTGACTACAGAAGGCAAGGTAAGCTGTCTGAATGCTGGTGCAACGAGTATGGAGGTTAACACGCGGTTGATAGTAAAAGAACCGGTCATTTCAAGGAAAGTTGAAGTCCAATTTAGGGTCGAGGATGCTAGGATTTATAACAAGAGACCCCTCACAGCCGCGACTGTTACAGTTCCCAACAGAACAACCGCGGCCCATGAGGTTGTGGAAGGGGTGATTTTTACTAAAACTCATGTTAGTACATGGAGTAAATCTACTTCTTTGACATTAGGTGTCAAGGCAGAATTCAAATCAGGAATCCCCTTTATAGCCGAGGGAAAAATTGAAGTAGGGACCGAAATATCAGATACAATTGAGTTCGGACAATCTACTGATTTCTCCAAGGAAGTCAAAACTGAATACAGAGTCCCAGTGCCTCCTATGACAAAGGTAACAATAACCGTGCTCGGAGCAGAAGCCACCTATGATGTTCCCTTTTCTTACATTCAGACAGATCTTTATGCTACTGGTGATAGGGTTACAACTAAGCTCGACGATGGGATTTTCAAGGGTGTTGAGTCCTATGATTTCACCTATGAAACCATATATGAACCTCTGTGATACATAGCATCTTATCTACTCTGTTCCTATGTCACACTATGTTGCCCGATAATAAGTGTGTTTTGATAATAAATAAAAGAACAAGCACTCAATGAAATGAAAGATGACTGCTTAGCTTGCTGCATTACTTCTTCAATATTCTTGCAGAAATAATAATCACAATGTTTTCAGCATTATTATGAAGTTATGATCATGTTTTGCATCAAATGAAAGTGAAAATTGTATATAGGAAGCACTCAAAAGGATGAATAGTATTGCATCAAGTGCTGTTACAACTCGTGCACTTAAATCTCCAATAATTAAGCTGCTAATTATTTAATAAGTTAAGAATTGCAGATAGATCACACTAATGAAATCTGAGATGTTCTTATCATGAGCTATAATATCACGCATTTGTCAATTGACAGATAGTATTAATAAGATTAGCAGCAGTAGTGGCATGTTTTGTTAGAAAATGAAACCAAAATTAATAAATTTAAATATGAGGCAGCAGTAGTATTTATTAATAGTCAAAAAGCACAACACTTAAAGTAGCAAGCAAGTAGTACAAAGGTAAATTGATAGTAGAAGAATGAGTTTAGAGTAGCCTGGATTGTAGCACGCAATGCGCTATCCTTAGAGAGAAAACGCCCCACTGCACTGGTAGAATATATTTATGCGCTCCTCTCCCAAGATACGACAACCCGCCAGATCAATTGTGTGCAGCAAAAGACCCCGAAACTAATTACACCAATGTTCCGTAATAATTATAGTATTGCTTTTAAAGAGAGAATATTGTGAATTGTTTTATTTTAAACTTTGACAGTTTCTAGCTAATGACAATTATTGGTCTCATTTCCTAGGTCCTTTTCCAAAAAGCCAAAAAAAAAAAAAAAAAAAAAAAAAAAAATCACCAATAAGCTATGTAGAATCCTTTACTTAATAATGAAGGAATTAACAAAGTGAAGTACGAAACTAGATCTTCCTCCGTGCAGGGGAAAATAACCAACAAATTTTAGTTTGTTATGTAGAAGACAACGTGACCATTGTGTACCAACAACAGATCGAGTCAGTGATCAAAACACTTATTAATGACTCTCTTTTAGGCCAGGGGTACATCATATTGTACGAAGGGAAACAAAATCTGATACGGAAGGAAATCGCAAATGGAATTCTGCATCTGAAGTTACTCAGAAATTTGTGTCAATATTTTTAGAAGGTATGCCACATGAATGAATGGCCAAGCTCTTTTAGATCATAACAAAGGGCACATAAGAAGATTAGCTAGTTGTAATTAAATATGCTTATATGTGAGTTGATTAATGATTAAAATTTCTGATTTGCTTAAAGTTATCTTAACACTATACAAGTATACAGTATCATTTATGCATGATAGTACCTAGACTAAGAAAATATATATATATACATATATATATATATATATATATATATATATATATATATAGAAATGAGATCATATGAGACCACATCCCTTATGTGAGAACCCTTTTTATATGTGAGGACCCATTATAACCGTTGGATCAATTACATCCAACGGCCACAATTAATCCCGGTCAAATGCGTTTTTTCTCTCTCCTCCTTCCTCTTTCACGCACAATTTTCTCTCTCCTCGTTCAAGTTCATCCTTCCTCAACAAATTTGAAAGATTTTAGAGAGAGAAGCAATTATTGGCAGTAGAAGAGCTTGAGAAATCAATGGCGGCAACTGAGATTGAAGACCAAAGAAAAGACGATGATGATTTGGAGAAAGGCGAGATTATAGACGATAACTCAAACGCCGAAAAACCCAGCAAATTAATCGCAACAACTCATCCTCTTGAGAATGCTTGGACTTTTTGGTTCGATAATCATACTGCTAAATCGAAACAAGCTGCTTAGGGTATCTCTATTCGACCCATTTATACTTTCTCTACTGTTGAAGAATTCTGGAGGTTTCTCTTTTTATCTTTGTTTTTCAATTTTATTAATTTGATTATGAATTTATTGAATTTGGTTGTTTGAATCTTTTTGTGATGTGGGTGATTGATTGATTATGTTCTTGATGTTGTATGCAAAGAAGCTGAGAATTGTGACTGCTTACACGGTATTCAACGAAATGCCTCACTGAATTTTTTTTTCAGTTTTCTTTCATTTTTGTTTTTTGTGTTTTTGTTTTTCGGTGTTGGATCTGAATGTGGGTGTGAAATGGAATGGAATTGCAGGGTTTCAAGTTGATTTAATTATTTCGTCTACTTTGTCTGTTCAAAGAATTCTGAGTTTTAATTTGTCTAGCTCAGAAAACGGCCTTTGAATGTCTGATTTCATTAATGTCTTTGAATTATGACTATTTTACAGATTTTTTTCCCACTTCTTTTGGTGATTATGATTTATGATCAGCAAAGGCATTGGACATTCGGCACTTGAATCCATACTTAAAAAGAGATGCAGATTTCACACATGGAGTAAATTTTGCGGTTGCTGGTGCCACAGCATTCCCTGCAGAGTTTCTTGCAGATAAAAATATAGTAAATTCTGTCACAAATAGCTCTCTCAGCGTACAGCTTGATTGGATGTGGTCGCACTTCAACTCCATTTGCTATAATGACCAAGGTATACGGTCATTTACGTTCCAAATTCACTTATTATGATGGCTAATATACAATTAAGCCAGGTCTCGTTCTTTTCACCTAAAATTCCCTTGTCTGAACTTATAGACCCCTTATCTAAACTCAATGAACTACAAATTTCCCGGAACATATAAGGTGACCATGTCATGCATACACACTTGACTAGCATCTGATAACACTGATCCAATTGAAATTGTTGAACAGATTGTGCAGAAAAACTCAAGAATTCCCTATTTGTAGTTGGGGAAATAGGAAGCAATGACTATTACTATGCATTGCCACAGGGAAAAACGATGAAGGATGTCAATGGCATGGTTTTTGATGTTGTCCAAGCGATTATTGAAGGCATCAGAGTATGTTTGTTCTCCTAACAATGAAACATTAATCCCGGCCTCTTGTTTTTATGCATTTTTTTCTGAATTTTTATGCAATTATGTTATTTCAAAGTATAAAATTAGTATCATGGTATGTTGTTAAGAGGGTCATCCAAAGTGGTGCTACCAAGATAATTGTACCGGGAACCTTTCCTTTAAGCCATTTCCCTGCCTATAGCACAGCATGTCAAGCCAAGAACTCTATAACCAACAGAAAATTGCGTCTCTTAATCAACTTGTCAGCCTATCACAATGATGAGCTACAAAAGAGACTTCAATTGCTGAACCAAGATTATAAGAACATTACTGTCATATATGGTGACTATTACAATGCTTTTAACCGACTTTGCTGAACCAAAACAATTTCCAATTTAGGCACTTGCCTTTGCTAGTATCCCCCTTTTAAGCTTTTGAGCTACAAGAATTGGTCACGGAATTACGGATGCATACAAAGTATACAGAAAATTATAATTCATTGATTTCATATGAATGATATTTACTACTTCCTTTTTAAAAACTGAGAATTCATTCTTGTCTGAAGTTTATTCGTTCAGCTACTTCAGTGTGAATAATCTTTTCACTTATTCCGCGAAGGATATATTAGAGTTGAGCCTCATTCACTCATTCCTGGAACTATTGAATTAAAAATTCTGGTATCATGGTTATTGGATGTGGGCTGCTATTAATTAATCTGTTGATGCTCCTATCCCAGTGTCCCTTATGTATGCCTTGTTGGATAATGTTTGCTCATTTCACAAATGAGAAAATAAATGCTTGTTGATTTAATGAATGATTAAAGAAACGTTTGCTCATTTGACAAATGAGCAACCAACTATTTGCTCATTTGAGAAATGAACAACCAACTATTTGCTCATTTGACAAATGAGCAACTAAGTTTTTGCTCATTTGACAAATGAGCAACTAACTATTTGCTCATTTGCTAAATGAGCAGATAATTTTGGCTCATTTTCTCAAAAATTAATATTTATTCTTTACTAATTTTTCAAAAATGAGCAAATAATGTCAAAATGAGCAAATAATTTGTCAAATGACTGAGAATGAATTGAAGTTACGCGCATATATGTTTCCATATAAGAATGAAGAAATTAAGAAAACAGTGTAGCGTGATGCTAAGTGATATACTGAGATCATGGAAGATATCACATTTGAATGGAGTGAGTTATAAGTCTTTATGATTGAGAGAACCATGAATAAGGGGAAAGGGTTTGCTTTGTTTTTCTAAAGTAAACTTTTAAGTTATGTTTAGTGATACCATAATTTGTGAATTGTAGAACCAATTAAACTGTGATAAGTGATGCTTTTATTGTTCCCTTTCTCTCCTTGCTTCTTCAATTTTGAGTATTCCCTGCTTTTCACTTGGTACCTTAACCTCAATTTTGATCGTAGCAATGTTTTTGTCCTTTTCTAAGTTTGTAATGTTTTTCTAAAGAATCTTATCGCTGGAAATGTGAATGGCACATCAGATCCTTATGCTCTTGTTACTTGCGATACAGAGAAAAGACTTAGGTAATAAAGATGTTTGACTTTAATACCTTGATGTTTTATCACGCCTAATTCAATATCGGACTATTAATGTAGCTTTTTGGAATAAAAAAACATTGAGGTAAAGTTGTTTTTTTATTTGTTGCTTCTATTTTCAATTTTGATTATATTAGTAATTATTTGAATTAAATTTTGAAATCCTGCAAGTATTGGCTTAACAGAATTGCCTTTCTGCATCCATGAGGGCAAGGTTGTATCAATATGACCCTTCTCTTCCTCCCCCAACCTAAAAAGAAAAAAAAATCAGTCATAGCAAGGAAGCTCTTGTGAAGGATGAGTCACTGGTCAATAGCTACTGGTTATTGCTTTGGCAATTCACATCTGCTGTGTATTTGTATATTTATCTATTCATAGTAAAAATCAGGTGGTAGCTTTACCGTCTTACTGATATGACCGGAGTTGTCTAGCTAGGTTGTTTAGATATTTTTAACTTAAAAAATTATGAAAACTAAAATCACCATCATAACTACATAAAATTATATATATTATAGGCAAATGGTTTCTACTGTTGATTCTTGAGATAGAACAAGCTATTTTGGAACTTTATCTTGATATGTTCAGAGTATGTTATCTTGTAACTGTGCGGGATTTTAGTTTATTTTTCTGCTTCTCTCGCTGCTTTTGTCTGTCCTCTTTGAATTACATGATAATGTTCTCATGCATTTGATATTAGGAAAAAAAATTTATATTGATAAAATGTGCAAATAATTATTTTCTCATTTATCAAATGAGCAAATAATTTTTTTCTAATTTAAATGAGCATTAAATAATTTTTTGTTCATTTGTCAAATGAGCAAATAATTTTTTGCTCATTTATCAAATGAGCAAAAAAATTCAACGCTCTTATGTCAAATGAGCAAACTATTTAATGCTCATTTGTCAAATGAGCAAATGATTCTTGCTCATTTTGTCAAATTAATGCTCATTTGTGAGTGTGTTTGAATGTTTTAAATACGTTAGCCTACTAGCTCAAGGGTAGAGCACTATGCAAATGCACAAAAGATTGGGTTTGAATCCCACGTAGGTTCATTTATGCAATGTGGAGACACAAGTTTGTAGTGTGAGCAAAGAAATGAGCAAATAAATGAGCAAACTACACTCAATTAGCATGTAGAGTAGTGTGAAAATGCAGAGTTTGAAAATTTTGAGTAGTTAATGAAATTTATTTCTTTTGGCTATTGGGAAAACAATACAAAAGACACCCACTGCTGTCTCTATAAACATCTTGAAATGCAATCTTCACTGTTATTTCCTGTTCCTTTCCCACATGAGTGTTGCGATCAATTATTAATTACACCAATGCTAACTGCGACATTCTTGTGTACTAAGCAGTTGTATCTTCCTTGATTGACACTGCTTGTGTAGCTTGGCATCAGAAGCAGAAGTATTGCAAGTATGTATACAACAGGAAGAATGATTAACTTATAACTTACAAAAGTTTGAAGTTAAGCTGGAAAAGGAATACCTATTATTTGATCAAGAGGAAGTTGCCTAGGCTAATTCGTGCTAAAAATTTCGGACATTGCATAAATCATGTTACAATTATAAGACATGTATAAGAATTGAACAACGATATAGTTGAGCAGAAAAGGAGAGATGATCAAGTTTTTTTTGAAGGTTTTTTTTATATAGTTATTTATAAATACAACCTATGTAGGATTCGAACCTACATCATCTATGCATTTGCATAGTGCTCTACCACTTGAGCTAATAGGTTTTTGATATAGATCAACGCCCTCCCATAGAAGCATAGGAAAACAATAAAATGTAGAAACTAAAATGCATCTATTATTACTACAATAGCCACCATAGCTCACAAATTACCTAACACATGCTCACCCAACACAACTACTACTATTATCAAGTAAATTAGTAACAAGTGAATATGCACCCCATTAAACACACTTACACACACACTCTCAATAATTAGAACTGAAATGAGATTCTTAAATAAGAATGTACACTGCCAAGAGCAAACACACACACTTACACATACACTCTTACACTCATACACAGACACACACACACATACACACACACACACACAATAATTTCATAATCTAAAATTAGAACTGAAATTAGTTTCTGAAATCAGAACTGCAAGCAAAAAGATGAGGGGGCAGGGGGGATAGGTTTGTGGAGGGAAGTGGATGAAAGGAGTGTGGTTGGTGTGCAGGAAATAGACCAAGAAGAAGGTGGTGGGGCTTGTGCATAGGCAAGCAAACCAAGGAACTCAATGCTCATTTGTGAAATAAGCAAACAATTATTTGATCTTTTGTCAAATGAGCAAATAATTCAATGTTCATTTGTCAAATGAGCAAATAACTCAATGCTCATTTGTCAAATGAGCAAATAACTCAATGCTCATTTGTGAAATTAGTAACTAAGTATTTGCTCATTTGACAAATGAGCAACTAATTATTTGCTCATTTGACAAATGAGAAACTAACTTATTATCGTTGCTCATCACATACTATCAAAACAAGCAGCTAAAGAAACTTATACATCACATATTATCAAACCAACTTCTGTTTTTAGCACTTATTTTACATGGCAAACATCTAATTCTACCAACTACATTCTCCTTAAGCCGAGTAATCATTTGATTAGCATTAATAGTCCCTTGTTCAATTCCATGTGATAGCATTCCTCAAATTACCAAGCATTTTCTAACAAGCATTTTATCAAACACCTTGTATGCACTATCAGGATATTCAAAACAAACTCATTGATAATTACCAATTGTTCAGTTAGTTGATCAATCTCTACCATGGAAATGAAATCACCCTTAGGCCCAACCAAGTCTTCGACACCATACTTCTTCCTCATGCGGACCTGCAAGTCCAGCTTGTCCGCAACCTCCTCGATGGTGTCAAGGATCTTGTCTACAGGCAAAATTGAAACTCCTATTGAAAATTTTAACGAAAATCCTAAATTGAGAACACTCAAATTAAAAAAATCGAGCAAAAATTTGAATGTCAAACTCGGATAACCAAAATTAAGAACATTCATATTCAAAATTTTCCAGAATACTAAAATCGAAATTAAAAAATGTGAAACCCAAATTATGGTAATCAAAATCGCACAATCTTGATTTAAAATTCAAATTAAATCATAGACAACAACGAAAATCAAAATAAAATTAACTTACAGTGCCTTAATAATTGATGCAATTCGAAATTTTCAGAGCAGTAAAATCGAAATTGAAAAGTTGAACAAACCTTGATAATTATCGAGCCTTCATATTCTTTAATCGAAGTTATTCGTACTTGTGAAGAAGAAGAAGAAATCAAAATTGTCAAGCTTTCAAATGGATTAATCAGTCGCCATTGATGAAACTTCGTGGTGGAGAGAAGTCAGTTAACTGGGTAGAGAGAGAAGACATTTAAGTGGTTTGTAGGAGGTTTATGTGATTAATCACAGCCGTTCGATTTAATACAATTTAATGGCTGAGATTTGTTCTCACATATGGGATGAGTTCTCACATAGAAGGTGGTTCTCACCGGATCCCGACCCTATATATATATATATATATATATATATATATATATATATTTAAGAACACGTAAGTAAAAATTTAGAACATGCGAGTTAAAATTTAGAACATGCGGACCAAGGTAGAAAGGTGAATTGTGTTCTATTTTTGGAGGCGGAGGTGGTGGTGTCTCATCACCGCCGGCCATTGTGGAAAAAAAATCAAACCTGCTCTGATACCATGTAGAATTGCATAAACTCACGGCTTAACTTTCATTAAACGGGGCAAAACATATATATACAACTCATATTCCTAGTGTTACCTTAATTAGGTTACTAGAAATAAGGAAACAATATAAAAGATAGAAACAAATATATCTACCCAAAATATATCCTCAATAGTAATAATTTAGAACATTTGTGTGAATAATATGTTTAGAACATCCGATTTAAGAATTAGAACAAGTGATTAAAAATTTATAAAATTTGCTTTATGAAATTTTAAACATATGAGTAAAATTTAGAACATCTGATTTAAGATTATGAATATGTGAATAAAAATTTAGAACAAACTGATATAGAATATAGAAAGTGTGAGTAAAGAATTTAGAACATACGAGTAAAAAAATAGAACATACGCTTTAAAATCTGGAACATATAATTAAAAATCTTATAACACACGTTTTAAAATTTAAAACATATAAGTTAAAATTTTGGGACAAGTTATTTAAAATTTATGACATCATACTTAACTAATTTATGGTTTAGAACATATGAGTACTAAATTAGAACATTTGATTTAATATAGAACACTTAAGGAAAAATTTAGAACATAAAAAGTGTTCTCACATAAGAAAAAATTCTCATAAGAGTCTTCCATTATATATATATATATGACGGGGACTAGGAAATTAAAGTCATTGCCTTTAATCCAAGTTTAGGGTCGCCATTGCCTCTAAGTGCTATATCGTGAGTCTTCGGTCTTAGATTATCAAAATACACATCATCCTCAGCTCAACCATACATTTCGTACTTTCATTGAGGTATGAGTTAGGGCTTATTCCCTTCACCCTATAGAAATATTTAGTAGAACCGTAATTTTGAAGAAAAAATATAATAGAAAATTAGTAAAAAATAATTTCAATTCAATAAAAAGAACTGTAGTTCAATAAAATTAATTTCAATTCAATAAAAATAATTGAGTTTAGCAAAATAATTTCAATTTAGCAATAATAATAAGGTCAAGTGTTATTTTACATTTTTTGTTAGATCTTTTACCAAAATCGATAATTTTACAAAATTAATTACCTAAACGGCTAGTTGTAAATTTTAATTCCAAAACTAGCTAAAATGTTGACTTGGAAGAAAATTATTTGTTTCTCATTTTCCTTTGAACCGGTTTGGTTCACTTTTTTGTGTGTGTGTGTGATTTTGCTTTTATTTTAATTTATTTTTTTTTAGTTGGACAATTTAAAAGCTATATACAAATA